TTATAAGCTGATGCAGCGTGAACAGGCGCTTTTCTCACATTTTAAAGTCCCAGAGCCTCTGCTTGCCATGCTATAGCGAGTCACACCGTGGCAGTTCGAAACAAAGTCTGGCGTCTCTGGGAGCGAGGGTATATACCTCCGAAGGCGCCTATAGGTGCGATATAGGCGTGCTCTTGTCTGATAGGTAGCGCCACCTCGTGTCATGGCCCCATATGTGAGAGACATATATATGTAACAGGACCTCCGCACGGTGGTATAATGGTTACGACTCTCGGCTATTAGTCCCGAAAGTCCCGATCCCGGCCACGGTGGTCGTATATTTCGGTGGAGGTGATTATGGTACTTACAAAGAGGGTTCAGCTTAAATTGAGGACGACGCAGCGAGCAATGGAAAGAAAAATGGTAGGTGTAACCTTAAGAGACAAGAAGAGAGCAGAGTGGATTAGGGAACAAACGGGCGTTAAGGATATCATAGCTGAAATCAAGAAGAGGAAATGGACATGGGCCGGGCATGTAGCGCGTAGACAGGATAACCGCTGGTCATTAAGGGTAACTGACTGGACTCCCAGAGAAGGTAAGTGGGTTAGGGGGAGACAGAAGGCTAGGTGGGCAGACGAGATTAAGAAGTTTGCGGTTATAAATTGGCAGCAGCAAGCACAGGACCAGGTTAACAGGCGGAACATGAGAGAGGCCTTCGTCCTGCAGTGGACGTAGTCAGGCTGATGATGATGATGATGATGATTATGGTATGTACAGGCCCTTGTATATACTGCGCGATGTCAGGGCACATGATGTCAGTGCAGGCGGGGCAGTTTCACGCAAATTCCGCAAGGCTAGATCCGCCAGCAACCTATATTATACAACATCCTAATCTTATAATCACGGTCTTGCTCCGCCGCGGTGGTCTAGTGGCTAAGGTACTCAGCTGCTGACCCGCAGGTCGCGGGATCGAATCCCAGCTGCGGCTGCTGCATTTGCGATGGAGGCGGAAATGTTGTAGGCCCGTGTGCTCAGATTTGGGTGCACGTTAAAGAACCCCAGGTGGTCGAAATTTCCGGAGCCCTCCACTACGGCGTCTCACATAATCATATGGTGGTTTGGGGACGTTAAACACCACATATCAATCAATCACCGTCTTCAGCGTCATAATGCAATATGTAACCCAAACTTAATCGTTGAAATTTTGATTCGTGGTTTTACTGTATATAACGAGTTATGTTAGAACACTGCAACGTATGATGCTGGCTCATTATGCTTATATTCCAGACATTCACCGCTAAAAAGGGACAGCGTTACGACTTGTTACAAACATCTTTTTTTTTCGATAGGATCAATTAACACCTAGTGCATATAAATATATATTTTGCGAGGCGTGCTGAAGAATGTGCGGTTCTTCTTTTACACTTTTTCGAAAGACTGCTGTTGGCCACTGACAGCATTATCATGACGGAGGACTTCGGAAACCGAATGAGCGTTCTAATATTATCGGGGGTTTTACGTTCCGAAACCACGATATGATTGTGAGAGACGCTGCAGTGGAGGACTCAGCAAATTTTGACCGTCTGCGGTGTTCTTTAACGCGCGCCGACAACGGACAGTGCACGGACCTCTATCCGTTTTGCCTCGATCAAAATACCACCGGTATCGAGCACGCGGCCTTTGGGTCTAGTAGCCGAGCACCGTAGCACTGTTCCACCGGGACGGCCACTCGGACGGCCGTTCTCGATGTCGAGGATGCTCACGTTATTCTACAATTGTTTCTTGTTTAAAAGCGTGACGTTCTTTACACCTGGACAGCCTTCTATACATCGACGATAAGCGAAAAACGTAGGGCGGAGACATCGCGCATATTTGCTACACACAGTAAAATTTTTAGACCTCTATGGGTGTAAAAAGGGTGTAAAAAGGGATTTACACCCTTTTTGAATGAATGTAACACCCTTTTTTGTTGTTACACCCTCATAAAAGGGTGTAATGGGCATAAGGGTGTTATTATGCCGTTCGTGAGGGTGTTGAAGAACAGAAGGGTGCACACCTATATAGAGGAAATGAGCACCCACGCATGCATATAGATTGTCACGGACCTTTAAAAAATTCTCCTATAGCTATACATGTAAAAGCTGGTTCAGTTCATGAGTCTGCCCCGGGGTGCTGCATACAGCGGTATTCTTTAAACATGTGTCAAGCAGTTCTGTGATTGCATCAATCACGGCGAAGAGCGGCACCCGCTTAAATGCTGCGCTCACAAAACTTTGCGCAATCGTCTCGTTCGTCAATGTCGGTATTTTTTTTTTCCCTCGCTTACTGCTGATATCGCTGGGCTAGAACATTTTGTATTGGTTACTAACAAGGGGAACTACGCAGTGATTTAATACAAGTCACACTTTGACTTAACCCTCTTCAGTGCAAAATTGGAGCCGCAGTAAGGGAGAATACGGTATACTTTTCAAATCTTTATCGGCATTTTGTCACTCGCTTATACGCTCATTTTCTTCCCGCAGGATTTAATAATTTGGTGTATGCTCTTACGAAGCCTGCTATATGTGAATGCATTCACTGTGAAAGAAATGGTTTTTATCTTTGAATAACCGTCAGAAATGCTGCATTTCAATTTATTTTCTAATTGCCAAAATAATAAACGTTGATAAACTATGATTTTCATGAAAACCGTGGCCTTAAAATTCGTTAAAAAAAACGCACCCTGCACTAATGGCTCAAAGCCATCATTTTGTATGTTTTTTTTTTGCATGACGCACTAAGTTACACAGCATTACCTTTACATTCCATTCCACCCTTACCCTTACAACGTCATAGAATTATTTTCTGAAAAATATTGTTTAAATAACTACAGCCCGTGCTCATGTATACGTATTGGCATGATTTTTGCCCTCGAATTTCTCTTCCTTCTTCAACAGTATTTCTGATTAAATATCATAGTTTTATTCACATCTAGGCAGGATGTATAGAAACCGAAACTTCAGTTTGTAGCACTATACTTTTAAGCTCGACCCGAATCGTACTTCCGTAAATGAACCGTTCACAGATGACTTGCAAACAAAAGACACAATATGCCAATTCCCTCCTGCTTTTAGCGCTCATATTTCCTAAACACAGGATTAACCGTAGAGAGCTCTAAAAGACCTTGCTCATTTTAACTCCTGATATTTAAGTCGATCTTTAAAGCAGCGCTTGACCTTTGCCTTGGGGGTTACTGTGCAGGACTCGGATATCTAATTACTTTTTTTTCTTTGCCGGAATTGAGCTGATGCGTTTGGAAGAGGGAAAATAATACTTTTCTGTGCTAAGCCAAGCACAGGCGCGCCGCCCGTCGGCGACACTGTAAGATCGCCAAATTGTGAACGGTGAAGCGTCCGAAGCCGCTGACGTCATGCAGATTCGAGGTGACAGTGTTGACAAGCGCACATATTTCAGCCGGCAAAACACTGCCTTTTTTTTTAGGGATGCATTTTGGTATTTGTTAGCTATCACGTTATGACACAAATGTGTGCTCGTTTGCGGTGGTATAGAGTGACTTATTTCGCAAGTCCTGTGTCCAAGCCTAACCAACGCTGCCTGAAGATATATCCTGTGTCCGAGAAGGTATACCGTTACCTCAGCGCAATCAACGTAACACCCTATTCACACCAAACAAGATGGTGAATGTAAAATAAAGTGGTACATTGTTGCAAAAGTATCTTCGAAACATCTTGTTACGCAAAAAAAAAAAACAAGCTCCCAGCTCGTGTATTTTGATATCTGTATTCCGGAATAATTTTCTCGGTATATATAAGGTTCTCGTTGCAATACTTCATGGCGCTGATTAGCTTCGTTTCTCAAAACGAATGTCGCCTGTCTCTATCTGCAACTGCGCCTATATATATACATTTTTGGTTATTGAAGTCCTGCACGAGTGACGCTGACTTTGAACACCTTCACATAAAAACTCCCAATAGGTGCGGTAATTGCACAGGTTGATGTTATTCATTACCCATCGAGTATGCGCGTTTACGAACGGCAATGTTGGGCATATGTATCTTGAAGAAATTAAGAAGAAAAAAAACGCGATGACGTACGCTTCGCTGGCGTATATAGGCTGCAGTGAGCGAAGAAGGGTGAGGGAGGTTGAACTTCCTTCCAATTTCAAATTTTTGCATGTGTACATGTATACACGCACACAAACGCACGCGCGAACGTGCATACAAAAAAACTGGACCCCCCCCCCCCCCCCCACCCAGAAAAATTTATGCCAACGCCAGCTGACTGTATAATCAGAAACAGTGCAAAAATGTGCCCAACACATTAAAGCCACACCAGGTGTGACATTTTTTTTACATTGTGGTAGAATGTCGAACCAAACGAAACACGCAAAAGCGAAATTCCGCTCCTGCCATATAGATTGTTGAGCTCCAAACGGGAAGGCAACTTCAGTGTGTACCGTGCATTACGGCAAGACCGACGGAGTGGCACGCGTCTCTATAGCACTCGTCCCGTCGTATCCGGTGATATACGACGGCCATTAAAAGAAGAGCGGCTTCCATGGTAGCCGCTGTCTTTAAACGATTCGGCTGCGAATGGCTTTCTTCCCCCCATCATTCGCACCGTTTACAGCTTCGTCCCCCGATAATCTGCGCCGGGGAGGAGGCCGCCGCACTTCAACCATCGCGGGCGCTGCGAGTACATGGTGTGGAGAGGTCCCTTCGGGACAATCGCGAAACAGTGCGAGTGACAGCTTTAGCATTTGGGAGTTACGTGGACAGTGACGTATTTGGCTTGTTAACGACCGGACATATGTTCTCGCAGCAGAGCGTCAAGACCTATACAGATGAGTGTCGTGGGCATGAAATGCGTGTCTCAAGAGGACACAAGCGACGTCCGTCAAAGGGCCCACCAAACGTTTATGTGTCCAATTCGCTGGTGTGTCACGTCACTCTACACCGTGCGACGGAACGAAAGTCCTCGACTACGTCTCGTTCGCGTCGCGGGCAAGAGAAGGTGCTCACCGGGGTTCGGCTGCACCTGGTACGATGGCTTCATCATCCACTCGTAGGGCGACCTCGCCGGCGCGGGCCGGGACACCGGCTGCACGAGTCCCGGCGAAGGCGTGCCGCCGCTAAGGTCCGACGGGGCCAGGCCGGAGTCCGGGCTCGTGGTTGGCGGTTCGGGAACCACCGCGTAGCCTCCGTACAGACTCTGCGGCTGTGGCTGCTGCTGCTGCTGAAGCGCGGCCCAGTCGTCGTAACGGTAACCGCCACCCCCGGTCCAGTCGACGGCGTCTACCAGGCCTCCGTGCACGGCGGTTCCGAAGCCGGCGTACTGCGGGGGCGGCGAGCAGCTGGTCGGGTAACAGGTTGCCGCCGCGTATTGGAACGCCGCCGCCGCCGCGGGGCCAACTTCTTGCCGCGCCGGAAACATGGTACTAGTGAGCGGAGAGCGGTCGCGGTCCCGGACGTCCGAGAGGGCCTCCAGGACTCCGCCTACCAACGGGACCGCCCCGGCACGTGGGCCGGCCCCGTGCGTACCGCCCGCGGCACAGACGGCGCTGCTTGCGCCCCTGATTTACGGGACGGCCGAAAGGCGAGAGAGGTCCGTTTCGCGGCTAGCTGCGGCGGGTCTGCGAGCATGGCGCTGCGCCGCTGGGCACTGTATCGAAGAGAACACACACACACCGCCCGCGTTTATTGTTTTACCCTATGCAGTGATCCTTTCCGGTGACACCCCCTTCCACCGCGGTAGTCGTTTGACTAGCGCCATTTTCGCACGTACCACTTGTAGGCAGGGCTCCCTTAAATGAGACGTCTCTTCGCCTTTAGTGTGTACACTGTCATTCTTCTCACGTGCATGGTCAACCAGGTGTGCGTGTTTAGTTATGCTAGTCTTTTCACCCTGACGACAGTGTGACAAACGAGCCAAGGCGGGGGGGTCCTTTTGTGACAAACGAGAGGGGGACCCTTTTCACTCAACCGGACGAGGTGAGCCCCGACGTTTGGCGATTTTTCGCTGTAATCGACGGATTCTTAATCGGAAATATTCGAGTGCCTGTGTGTCGCGTCGTGCGATCGCACAACGACACATGCCAGCGTGCAACATCTGTCTGCTAATCGCATTTTCAGCCCTATTCACCACACTGTTCTTCCACAGGTTGCCTATTTAACGCTAACCATTCAGTTTCAGACTCATCGCTCTATTTACATCATCAGGCTTCTCACACTGATTTCCTTCCTTTGCAGTCTTTCTGTTATAATCTTTACGTGACATGACATACTTCACTCCTGTCTCTTCAACTATAGAATATCACTTATACCTGTCTGATCTCCGATTCAGACGGACGCCTTTTATGTCGTTTAATATGCCGGATCTTCCCCATTTCTCTCTATTCAGCCACTGCGCGATATACGCTTCTTTATTTATTTATTTATTTATTTATTTATTTATTTATTTATTTATTTATTTATTTATTTATTTATTTATTTATTTCACATACGCCCCGAATATGTAATTTCGTACAGTGGCATGAAACGATTACGTATGCATTTCTCATTCGCAAGGACATCGGCAAACTCATTTTCAGGGGGACCTGAGTTCGCAGTTTATACATATTGATAAAGTTAATCGTTGGCACTTGCCTCACATGCGCGCTTGAATCTATCGCGAGCATTTTTTGAACTACGAAAGCTGAACGTGTGGCGCCATACATGGTTGTCGTCCAACATTTTGCGCTTAACTTCCACAGTGTTGTGTGCGCGATAGGTATACATATGAAGCACAGTATGGTATTTCTGTATTCCTCCTTGTTGCATTGCGCCCTGCAAAAGCTCTGCAGGCGGCGGGGCTCGTGGAGAGTTGGTCTGTAGAGTGCGAAAAATGTTAATTGGGCTTCTTCATCTTATTCTGATTCAGATACATACGCAAAAGTGCCATATGTGTGCTAATATGCGTGAAAGTTAATAATAATTACTGTCGTTTTGAAGGGTCAGACCCGTTGTATCATTACGAGACACGTGCTCTTAATCAGGTCCTGTTTAAATGCTGGTATAATATATCTAGGAAACCAGAACAAAAAATGTGAGGTTACCTCTGGCTATATTTAGCACCTTAAGCGTGACCTGATTAAGACTGTGCCTTAGTTGTAAACTTCAGATTAATTTTAGACCACACACCAGGGTTACTTTACCTGTCACCCTAAACCAAAGCACCCTGATCCGCCCTATTTGAAATTCAGCCGCGCTGGCCTGGAATCAAACATCTACCGTTTAACTGACGGCTGCTAGGTATATGTAAGTTGATCTCATTCGCACAATGTTCAAGGGCGTCAGTGATCCATTCAAGGTAGGCAGTTAGCAGGAAAAGGCGGGTTGGTTGATCCATCAGCCATTCAAGGTGGTAAACCTATGGTGGGCAAGATAAACTGTTAAGCGGAACGTTGATGACATGTTTCGTAGCTACTAAAGACAGGTATCTATAAATATTGGTGTTAGTCTGTTTACTTCTGTTAAGCAGTCATGGTTTAACAGCCTTGCATGCTCCAATGTTCGCAATTTCAAGTTGGCCCCTAGTGCAAATAATTTAACATTTAATTAGTAGACGTGAAATGTATCTCGATCCATGGACATTGCAGATTCCCAACGAGGCAATTACCGCCCGATGAACAGTCGAATGAAGCAATTCATTGGGGCAGGCGAGACACGCAGTTGTATTATAGTGTATGGCGACCTCTATGACAAATTTATTTTGAGGTAACAAAACAGAAATAATTACACGGTTGTTGGGATCTATATGTGAAGCAAGATGTCAAGAAAGCGAAGACAATGTATATTATATAGATGTTACTAATTACCCACTTATGATATACGCATAATACCATGCACACTAAATATACACACTATTCATACGACAAAAAGTATATGACACGCATAAATAAATGCATTCTATATATAGGATTCATGCCACAGTACCGTACATAATGCAAGAGATCAGATTATAAAAAGTCGAGTCGAGTTGTTAAAGGAAGCCGTTCAGTGTTGTTTACAAAACTGCGTATTAAGCTATAGTGGATGTGAATTTATTGTGGCGTGACAAACGTCGACAGAAGACAAGGGAACCATGGCAAGCCAATCGTTAAGTTATCTAAAACTTTCACTATACAGTTTCATTATTTGGAGATGTGTCCTTTAGAAACAATAATGAACAAGATGCAAGTTTTATGTTGATATTTATTGGTTGGTCAAGCAGAAGCGCGTCCACTGACGTTCCTTAGTCAGTCCGCATGCAGGAATGTCATGAGGCAAGTCAATGTGTTGCGCTCGAATCTCACGCTGGTTCGTACATGACAATTCTTCACAAAAATATGCATGAGTTCCGATTACGTGAGATACAAAGCTACCCGTACAGTGGCAAGCGCGGTCGCGTCATAATTTGGGACGTCAGACAAAAAAAAATCTCACCTAAAAATGCGGATGATATGCAGGTATATATCTGAATACATAAACATCATGCATACGCGAGACGCATCATATATGCAGATCATGCACATTATTTTTCGAGTTTTGTGTGCAAACTAAGTTACTTGCAGGCGGATGTGTAGGTACATTTGAAAGACGTAATTATAGTGCAATTAACTGCAAACAATTATAAAATAATAATACCTGCGAATAAACCGGACAAGGAACATATAGACAAGGAGAATTTATTGTCCTTGTGTGTTCAGTTTATCCGAGTTTAATAGTAATGTTACGGTTTATAGCTAATGCGACAGACCAACAAACCATACAATGAATTCCTCCAAAGTAAATTTATATGAACCAAAACAAGGTATACTATATTCTCGCCGTACGGAACCCTATATGGTATGGTAAAATAAGCTTTGTTCAGGTCCTGAAGTTAAACATTTAGGTTGACACAGATTTAACCTTGAACCTTACGCAGTAATGGTTAACCTTGCCGCCGTATCGTGGGCAATCTGCAGACGGCCTGTATACTTGATGTTGAGAGCTCCTCCACTGTGAAGCACTCTTTTCCACCAGCCTCTTTCGTCATCACAGTACAATGGGAGGGGGGATTCTACGCGATGGTCGCATTATAGACGAGACAACGAAGGCTCATGTGTCCACCTCTGTGTTACGGTGTTACGGATGCTGACCCGAAGGTCCCATTTCTATGGATGCAAAATGCTGGAGGCTCGTGCTGTGCTATACTAGTGCACGGCGTGGAGGATTGAATTGTGAAAATTTGCCGAAGGCCTTTGGCACGGCAAGCCTCATAATCACATCGTCACTTTGGCAACTAGAATTCCACGTGTTATTATTAAAAAAAAAAAAGCAGTTGTCGCCAGGGTGTTGGAAACGGCACCACTTTTGCGCGTTCATCGGCCACGGCTAACGCCACTAATTAGTAAGTTCAGTGCGTTTATTTAGAGAAGAGCCGTTATGGCCTAGGATTGGCCCTGGACTCGGGATAAAAAAATCATCGTCAGCCTAGTGAGGCCAGTACTAGCTATAGTTGCCCGTTAGCTCTTCTGCAGCGACCCAGCCTTGCACGACTTATAGTGCAGGGTGCACTCTTCTTTTTTTTTTACATATTATTTCTCTTTTTTTCCCCACCACGCAGTCGTCGCTGAGAGAAGCACGCACAAAAGACGGATCTCCGAGTCACGTGACCGTGCTCCTTGTCTGCGGAGTCACATGACGAAATGGTGAGCCAGCGTTCTTTCCAGAGACGGTGTGTTTGCTTTAAAGAGAAGAAAAAAAAAATCACGAAACAAAAAGGGAAGAAGGCGCGATATACGACCGACAGGAAACCGCGCGTTCGCCTTCGGAGGGACGTCTCTGGTGGGTGGTGCGGATCGGATTTTCGGAAAGGGAAGCCCCCCTTGGGTACCGCCCACCCGCTCTCGCCCTTGCCCCGATGCCGCTGAGGAAGGCGACCCGGCAATGCAGCAAAGCGCACTTTACGCTGCGTCAGTGTGCATCCTATATTTTTACGGGCTCTAAAGCAGCAAATATTGACGACAACGGAAGCACTCGCTGTTGGGACGGTCGGTTCCCTCTGTGTACTGACCATAAAATTATGGTGCTTAAAAAGGATAAAGGGGTAAGGTGAGTATGGAAGGGAACTATGGAACGGTATGGAAGGGAAGGTACTTAACTGCTGCCGCCAGCAATAGCCCTGAAAGTCTCGACATATGTAATCATGCGTATTTATTTATTTATTTATTCATCTGCTATACCGCCACTCTCATACAAGAGCATGGTGTTAAAAAAATTTTACTTGGTCAGTGAGTTTTCAAATACTTTCGAAGCAAATATTCAAATAGGAAGAATATTACACAACCACTAGCGAGTAATACTGAGTTCAATAATGACAGATAGATTCAAACAGATTTCAAAAAAACAGATTACGAATCAATATAAAGGAAC